TTTCCCTCTTTGTCACTGGCAATTCCTGTTTGTTTCTGCCTGTCTCCTTTTGTTATTCTCTGTTGCTTCTCTCCCTGTTTTGAAGGGATCTCTAAAGCCTTCCAGTCAGATCAGGAGAAAAGTGGTGGCTACAAGTTCTTACTTTAGATATTGAACTAGTTCAGTGAAGGGCATCATGAGATCTCTGCAGACCTGATCCTTCCCTTCTGTGAGCAGAAAGGGTCTCTGAGTCTGGTAATTTTCAATTATTCCTCTCCCCGCCCCTACCCTGAGGGGGGTGGGTTGAAGGTCATGTTATTGACCTGTTTAAATGGAGTTCAGATTCCTCTCCCTACTCCACTACCTTTTCTGTCCCTGCACTCACATTGTCCTGCCTCTGTGGATCCAATCTATTGGCTTTAGCCATCAGATCAACATGTTACAAGTGAGATGTTCCTGCAGAAGTGGAATTTGTAATATAATAATTATATACAGCACTTTAAATATATATTGTTATATGTGTATGTATGTCTATTAATGCAACATATATATACACATATACGCATATATATTCATGTGCACATACATATGCATATGCAACAGACACACACATATGCATACGCAAGACCTCTTTTGTCTCCTATTTAAGGCTCTGCCACCCTCTTACCTGGTAGTCTCCTGCTGTGTCAGTCCTGCAACTGACAGTCTGCTCGCACACAGATCCCACTCCTGAACTTCCTGTGTGGCCAGCCAAGTTCCCCTAAATACTTTGTATCGTGGGGAATACATGTTGATTCTCTTATCCTGGGCACTATTTGTCCTGCAGCTGGTTAAATTGTGAGGTTTCATTCAACAACCCCTTAAATTTCTCTCTCTTGTAGAACTGCTTTAGATTTCTTACTGCTCATGGCTATTCAGAATGTAACAACATGCATATAATTGGGTTCACCTTCTTCCCTTTCAAATAGCTGAGATGATAGCAAAAATACTCTGCAGTAATGTGTTACTATTTGTGTTTGGGAACCACCTGGGACCGGTGCATAAATACGTGTTAAGGGCAGGATAACAACTAGAGAAACTTGTTTCCCCATGTTGCAATCACAATGAATTCACATTAAACTGGTGAATCATTAGCCTTGCCAATGCATATTAGAATTGCAGAGCAGAACCAATGGATTCATGAACATAATGTATTCTCCCAAGGCAGGCTAAAAATTGCTTACCATGCCCTAATTACAAAAGTAGTGATGCAGTATAAACATGCCTTAGCATGAGTTTGTCTGTCTGTCTGTCTGTCTATCTATCTATCTATCTATCCATCCATCCATCCAGCCTAGTCTACTGCTCAAAGAAGTCCTGGTGGACAAATAAGAAATGTAGAAACATGAGCTATTTGCTTTGTATTTACATGGGATTTGCCCAATATTCTTTTTGTCTCCTTCTCCTTTCATGTGTTACAGGAATTTTAGAAGAGAAGACCCAGCAGAACTGTAAAATAGCCTTTCTTGTAGGTACAGCTTTTAAAACTGTTGGGATTCAATGTGGAAAAGAAGCGCAAATTACCAATGTTTTTCAGGGGTCTTTTGTATCGGTGTGATAATTCAATAGATTATCACTTGATTTTTAACTGATATTCAGTCTTCTGAGAATTTCAAATTGTAGAAGGATCGAACTGTAGAAATATCAGATAAAGTAATAAAAAAATTCTCTAAATAAAAAAGCAGAGTGTGGCATGAAAGTGACTCCTCCAAAAGCATATCGTAACTCATTCTTGCTGAAACTTATTGATCACCCTTTTTCTATTTCTATGGTATTGCCATTAATACTGTGCTTCCAGTAATCCACCTATGGCCCTGCTAGCCTGTCATTCAATAATGGTTTAAATTTCTCCACATTCCCCTGGTATTTTGCCTCAATTATCTCAATATTTTATTTGTATTTGTTTTGTGTTATACTGAAGTTACTTTTCTCTTTCATATTTCCCCTTGCCACCTTTGAAAAGATTTTTAAAATGTGATCAGACTCTTACAGAACTGTAAACAAACAAACAAAAATATTCCGTCAATTACTTTTTTTCTCTTCTTCATAATTGTTTAAAATCTAAGGGTCCATTCCATAGTAAGCTACGTGATTTGAACATATACTTCCTTGGATGCCAAAGAAAGCAGATTGTGGTATGGACAGAAAATACTTCTGTCCTCTCTGTTTTCCTGTTATGGTTGTATCAAGGGATGCATCTCAAGCCTGTTCTAACTTTTACTTCCTAGGTAGCGTGATCTTAACTGGGAGTAAAGCTTCTCGATGAGCTGAAAAAGTGCTGTTGTACTGCTCTTAGAAGTTGTTGAGAAAATGCTGCTTGTTCCTTGTTACTCTTCAAAGGAGTATCCCACTAGAGCCAGCTTGATTAGTCATACTCAATACTTCCCCATGGGCATTTAGAAATGTAAAACATAGGAACATATTTGGGGCTCACAGGGACCCCTGATATTTTTTGAGCTTTCATGTATTTTACACTGAATGATGATAATCTAAAAGGGCAACCTTGCTTGTAAAACAAAACTAGACCATTTTTGAATAAAGTGCACATAAAGAAGCAGAACCCTTCCCTCCCACATTTCATGCTCTTTCCACTGAGGACATCAGGGTTGTTACCTGCCCTTGAAAGAAAATGTGACAGAGGATTCAAAAGCAGCAGCTCATTGGAGACAAGATAAGGCAATGCTGGAAATTACCATTTATTTGTCTAGATGTGTCTGCCCAGATGCTGGAGTCTAAGTCACTGTGCTCTGTTTTTCCACTGTTAAGATAAAAGTCTGGGAATGCCTTCTGTCCTGTACCCAGGGAGCTTTGATCTTCAGCAGCCTGGGGTTGGCAAAGCCCCCTGTGAGACACAGTACTGGGCGGTAGTATTCTATGCTACCTGGTGCTCATCCTTGTTTCACAGTTAACAGCTGGTGAGACCAACAGTTCTTGGGCTGTGTGCAGTAGAGCAATATGAAATAAAACCGAAAATTCAGATCTCATTCCTGTAATTTTGCCAGCACGCACAGAAATACCAGGAAATGTAAGACCAATTAAGTTTCTCCATCTTATTCTTAGTGCTTAGATTTCAGGAGAGCATGGTGCAGGTGCTCAAGCTGACAGGTGACCCCTCCTTGGATGCAGCAGCAGCCCGAGTGCAATGGCATGCTGCTGTGCTCTGTTAATCACTTTTTCTAAGAGGCAGTGATTATCACATGTGACTAGACTGCTTCCAGCCCAGAGCTAGTCCAGGAGCACAGCATCATATCTGGTATATGAATTTTCTACCCAGACTCCCCATTAATTCAGTTCTTCAGCTCATTCCCTTTTACAGTGCAGACATACCTGGAACAGCAGCTGGGAAACCTGGATTTATTTCTTTGTGTCCTAGGACCGGGCAATGGCTGTGACAAGTCAATGTGCTACCCCATCAGGACAAGCACAATGTGCTTACAAGCAGTAAGCAAAGGGGATGAGTATGTTTCTTGCTTAATTTTACCTCCAGTCCTCCTGCACCACTTGAGAGGTCGAGGAGCCCTTCTGGCTGAATTTACTGAATATTAATCACTGTATAATAAAGCCAGGAAACAAACCCCACTGCTGCTGAGAAACTTCAAGGAATTGTTTAGACTTAATAAAAAATTATTGTAATTTCCTCTTCACCTCTTCCTTCTTTTTCTTTCTACAGAAAGGATGTACCCCCAAATTGGGTAACTCTATACATCTGGTCCAGGAACTGAGAACTCTGAGATTTCTGTGCCCCATTGCATCTTTGCACACACAGGAGATTTAAATACTATTCTGGAACTCTGCTGCATGTAAACAACCTCCAGTATTTCTGTGTCATGAAATCCCTTAGTATGAGACAAAAAATCCTTCTGACTTTTGCATGAATCACTCTGTTAACTCCCAATGTCACTTACTGTTCATTTAATCCCAGCCAGAACCTTATCCCTATTTCTTCTGTGGAGGCAACAAATCTTTTGAATTCTCCTGTAACCTTGCCAGAAATGACAAGTGAAGAAGTGACATACGCAGACCTGAGGTTCATGACACTGAAAAAATCCCAGGACCAGGAGCTCCAGACTGCCAGAACAAAAGGTAGTGGTTGTGTTGGGGGGCAATCCTCTCCAAGGCAAACTCTCACCTTGGAGAACATTTTTTATATGGCACTCAGAGCCAAGAAATATCTTGGATTCTGGGAGACCTTTGGACTCAAATCTTATAAGAAATTGGAGGAAGAAAAGAAAAAAGGCAGGAGATTAAGAAGAATGGAAGGGTGGAGAACGTGGAAAAACTATTTAGATTTGAGAGATGAGATATAATTAAGGTTGTGGGATGCAGTTAAGTAAAAATAAACACGTTCTAGTTAGACATTAAGTGTCAGCTCCTGGAAGTTAGTGAAGTAACCTGCCTAAGGGACATTGCAAAAGTCTTTCAGCTTTACTTATTTAAATCTGATTAACTGAATGAAGTCAATGCTACGGAAAAAATACGTTTTCTCTCAAGTGAAGGAAGATATGGACAAATACCTTTTTGTACTTTAATCATAAAAATTATGCTACATAGCTTCACAGAAGAAGGGAAGAATGTAGCTGATCTCACATCTATTTTCTTTGTGCTATGCATCAGTGCTTTAGAATTGCTCTAGTAGTAGCAAAACAAAGAGATGTTATGTTCCAGCCTGACTAAATGTCTGGAGATGAATTTGATGAATTTGATAATAATCTAATAGATTAAAGAGTTCTTTCTGAAGGAAATGTCCCCTTATTACCTAGCCAGTGATTATCTCATTCTCACCTTTTGAGGGGTCCTTGAGTTTTATACTTGGAGGCTGAAGCTGAACTCTCAGTAATTTAGTAGAGTTCTCAACTGTTTGGTTAAAGAGTTAGGGGTCACAGGGGATAAAAGGCAGAAATACCACAGGTTGGTATGCCAGTTATTTCTGTTGGTGACTTCAGCATAAGTATTCCCACGGAAATTTCATACTGGAGTCTAATAAAAGAACACAAAAGTCTTATATTGGAAGCAATCCTTTCCTCTGTGTTTTGGAGCTGTGTGTGAATTCATGTGGCTGCATCTGCCCACATTGCAAGAATGGATGTGTGCATTTCCAAGTGTGAGACTGCGCTTCTGTGCAACTGCAGGTATATGGTCCTCTTCACGTCTGTGTGCCCTAATTTCAGATTATTTTACAGGCACCTGACTTTCGTTGGTGACTGTTTCTGAGGTTATTTTCTGAAAAGGTTTATTCATTCCCGATTTGATAGGTTAGGCACTCAAAAGTAAAAATACCCCAATACCCGGCTGCATATGCAAAATTCAGCTGTGTTCTAAGCACAAATACTTCCTTCATGTTCTTCCCTCACATGCGAAATTCTGTGCTGTTCAGCTTTATTTGTCTAATTCATTTCCTCTTAGCTCCTGGCTAACGTAGTCTCCACGGCTTGCTTGCTTCCCAGCCCTCAACTCCTAAGGAGGACTGGCTACAGCCAAGCAACGGGACAGTTTTTATGATCATAGAATCATAGAATGATTTGGGTTGGAAGGGACCTTGAAGATCATCTAGTCCAACTCCCCTGCCATGTCTGAAACTCAGCAATTCACTGGGCAACATAGGAGCTGCAGATACAAAGATGTGAGGTTTCTGTTCTTGCTGCTTTTCCTTCTTTTTGTATATCTCAGATTCTCCCAGTCCATCTTCCTGTTGGCGACTGGCTACAGTGGTACTTGGGGTCTTCTGCCTAAGTTCAGTGGCAGCTGCAGGAGTCTTGGCTGCCAGGTGTAAGTATGGTCACAGAAGGGGTGCTTGGAATTCAGTATGAACAACTAAAAGTCTAGGAAATTAGTTAAGGAAAAGGACTAGCCTGGGGATTAATGATACAAAAGTGTCCCTTGCTGGAAGAGTTTACCCACTCAAGAGATCTCACAGTCTTTGAAATTGGAATGTATTATATCTTGCTCATAGATGTGCACAAAATGTATGTAGGTCAAGTATATTCAGTTATGGGGAGGTACGTGTGCCTTTGGTAAGTTTATTCAGGTTGCACCACACAGTTTAGCTTTAATATTAATGGAATAATTTCATTCTTGTTTCGCTGTGATTCAAGTCATCCTGGTCTGCCACCTTGTGCATACAAGGGATGAAAACTTCACCCTGCAAAAGGCAATTATGGAAAGCCTCAACCAGCAGCTGGAACTCCTCCAGGCTCAGAATTTGAACTTGACAGAGACTGTAAAGCAACTTGCCACCTCCAGAGGTACATAGCAGTGGGAAGATGGTGGTTCCATTGCATTATGGTAGCCACAGATTGATCTTTTTCTATCAACCATATTGGAAGGAAAAATCAAAAACTCTAAAATGGCCCTGAATTATTTAATTTAAAAACTAATTTCAACTGAGTCAATCAAAAGGCTGCATATCCATTTTGATCATTTTTAAAGTACCAGTATTTTTGAAGTATGTTCGTTGAATTTTTGTAATGGAGCTCTTTTATAACTTAAAACAAACACTTTAATTCAGAAAATACCATGATGATGACACTTTTTTTTTTATTATTTTAAATGTGTTTCTAATAGGTGAATTCATTGATGCTACCATTCCCTCTTTCACAGTCAGTTTCAGTGAATTCTAGTAGGAAAATTTTGACAGACAATTCCTACTGGCTTTTATTGCCTGAAATGCTTTGACTCCTCAAGACAGTTTCATTCTGTTATGCAGTAGTGGATGCACCGGTGGAAACTGCTGCTCTCTACCAAATGGGATTGTAATCACTGGCTTTAACAGTTTACAGACTATGTGCTGAGGGTGTTTTCTTTCTTGTGTGAAATAGTTGTGTGAAACTTTAATGATAGGTGAGCTGAATATGCTAGATTATCATAGGGTGGAGGGAAGAGAATCATAATAAATTAGTGTCATGTGAGAGAGTGGCAAGGTTATTATCTTTGTAAATGTTTACATTTGAATTTAACACAAACCAGAAGCTACTTGTAAGTCAAGTGCACTGTGCTATGTTATCTATTGCCATCTAGCATCAAGTCCTGGCATTCCCAGCTGGCACTGGTTTGTTACCATACAAAATGGTCATGTGAACTATAGAGCAATGAATATGATTCATCCAATTTCTAGGACCCAGTTCCCAGAAATATCCAAAATATTTTCTTTGTCAGGTCCTTTTTCTGCTTGTGATTATTTTAGTTTCCAACTAGAAATGGGGTTCCCCAAATGGTGCAAGTGTGAAAGAAAAATCCAACATTTTGTGTTCTTTTTGGCTTCAGTATTACGTAGGGTCCCAACAGGCAGCTAACAGAATAATGTGGCAGAAAAGAGACGATTAACAGCAATAGTCTCATTATCTTTCACTTTGTCTGCCCATCACTATCTGATGTCTGCACAGTGAATCCACAGCAAGTATGAAAAGCTACCAGAAAAGCATAAATTGCATTGTAAAGCATATAGCAGAGAAGAGCTGGCCCTGATGTTAACAGGAAGTTAAAAGTAAGTCCACATGAATAGAGGCGTACCCATATGACTGGAAGTCTAGGTTTCCTTTTACATCCACTCAGATCCATGTCTCTGTGAACATGGCTCAATCTTCCAACATTTCCTCTATTTGTGTTTTACGAGCATCCTGCAGATTTGCTGGTCAGATTTAAAAAAATCTCTACTATTTGTTTTTCTGATTTTCATTTAGAAATGTTTTTTTCTGGTCTTCTGGCAACTGGGTTTATTAAGTTTACAATGAAAATGTGAATTTAGCTACAGAATGAAGAAGGAATTGTTGCTTCTCTGTGACAGAGAGACTGCGTTGCTCTAGTGATCCTGCAGGGATCCACTAGACCACTAGAGACTGCCATCACTGATAAACCTGATCAGGTCCTTTTTTGTTTTCAAGGACAGAAATGTATTCCTTGTCCTGATAACTGGCTACAGTATGGGGAGAACTGCTACCACTTTTCAAAGGAATGGAAAACTTGGCAAGAAAGCAAGGCTCAATGCTCTGCTCTGGAGTCCAGACTTCTTAAGATAGAGAGTAAGGAAGAGCTGGTAAAGATTATTTTTTCTCTTTCTCTAATTACACACTCTGCATTTTACTGTGGTCTAAAAAGCCACTCGATCCTTCCACTGATGCAGTATGTTATGGCATGTGTGTGCTGAACCAAGTGGCAAAAACTGTCCATGATCCTTTGGAGCCCCTTTACCTGGACTGTGGCTGTGCCATAGCTCATGCATCTCTACTGACTCCAGGGGAGTTAACTGAGACACATCAACATGCGTCTACATCTAGATCCTCATCCCACCTCAGGGCAAATATAACTGAGCTAGTATTGGTTGGCAACTCTTTTGTTGTTCGGCTGGAGCAAACTATTTAGCAATCATCAGAAGACTGGCCTTCATCTTCTCACTACCCACAACTAGAAATCTGGACTGCTTACTGTGGTTTTATTGTCTATATTTCGAATTTCCTGTGTAAAATGATAGCAAACAATGCAAAGGGGTTTTCCCACCTGACTTATGCAACCAGGGTGTAGGAAGGAAGTCATTATGCCATACCCATTACCCAGCTAATGTGCAGCCTTTGGTTATCTCCACTGTTGTTTTAGCTGAGAGCTACTGAAAGCTCTCAGCAGGTTCATTTTCCTTATCTCCAAAACAGCAGCTGACTGCCAGGAGTAGGAAGCGCTGCCCAGATTCACTTGCAAAACAGTCTGTTACGGACAGGAGTGAGCAGCTCACTTTAATTTGCCTCTCTCCTTTTCCAAATCATAAGCCGCTATGAGTGAGGCAGCGATGTGATTCACAGGCTTTGCATTTATTTCCGTACAGGACTTCATAATGCAACTGTCACAGTCTTACAGTTCTTACTCTTTCTGGATTGGGCTGTCTCGCAACGGAGCTGAGGGGCCCTGGCTGTGGGAGGATGGATCAGCCTTCTCCCCTGATCTGTAAGTCACTGCACAGATAGGAGAAGACCACATAAGCCAGAAGAAGCAACCTTTAACTGGTGCTCAGTAACTGCCTGTCCCCCTGCCTGTTTGCAGGCAGACAGTTTACCCATCACTTGCTTGCTTATCAACGTAGGCAAGCCCCCATCAGAGAGCTTGTACGCTATTGTGGGTCAAACGGGTAGCAGTGGTCAGGAATTATGTAACTTTTTCCACGGGCTGATAAATATCTCTGCTCTTTTTTCACAGGTTTCAGATCCAACGAGTCAGCTCAAGTCCTTTCCTAGACTGCGTGTGGCTTCAAGGTGCAAACGTAGACACTTCACAGTGTGGCGAGTACAAATTTTACATTTGTGAGAAAGTGGTGGATCCTGTGGTAGTCAAGCAAGCAAGCTACTTGGACAGGCACTAGTGTGCAGAGCTCTGCAGAGAGCCCCATCGTGGGATACACCATTGTGGGGGGGAGTTCTGCCCCAGGATTTGTGATAGGGAAAATGAGTCTGAGCTCAAGTTAATGTAACATCAGGGATAATCTAAGTTTAACTTCCCCTCTGGTGATGCACGTCAGCCAGACTCCTTCTTGGGCTTTTTTTAAAACAACTTCATTCCCTCTTTCTTCTTTCAGCACTTGCATTCTTGTGTAACCACTTCTATCCACGTCTTATAAATTCCTTTCTAAATGAAAAAAAATTAAGTATATGATTCCAGAACTCTTAAAGATTCATACCTATCTCCCAGAAACAGGAATCAATGACTATTTGTAAGAGCAACACATCATGTTTTCAGAATCTATCCATTGAGTACTCACAGATGTGAGCCCCCAATCTACAATAAATTTGCAAATACTTAATTTCACTCCCCACCTGCTCATAACTACAAATGCAACAGAATCAGAGCCTTCATTAAAAAGACAAATAAAAATATTTCTAATTCTCCTGGTTAGAGAGAAAAGCTTTCAAATGAGCTTGCATGCCCTATGGGCTCGAAAAACTTGAGGCAAATACACAGCACATCTTTATTGAGGAAAGTCAGCAACATTTAATGCCATGGAATGCCAGTCTGATTGCTAGTGGATTGTCTACATCAGGGTGTTAGGCAGGAAGGTCCATTCCTCTAAGACATCTGTCTTGATAATTATCCATGTCACACCCGATCCGGATCTTTGATTTTTCAAATCTATTTTCCATTCTGTTGCAGAATTTCACAACCGGAATAAATATTGTTGCTACTGACTTTTTTCTGTAGTGTGTTTTTTTAGCAAGTCATTGTGCCCAGTAGGCTCAACAACCATCAAATACAGGGCCTTTGATTATGCAAAGCCTCCTGCTGCTTCACTGCTGTTTAGGAGGCTGTTCAAAGAGAAGACTGCATCAGAGAGACCATCTCTCTTCTATGGCACTAGCAAACATAGAAGGTCTTTGAAATCTCTCAAGAACAGTCAAGTTTACGGTTGGGACTTCTGTTCCTGTGTCTATCTCGTACTAATTTGAGCCGCTCAATGAAAATTGAACTGTAAGTTGGGGAAGGTGGAGGCATTTATGCAAGCCTTGAATGATGAGTATTTCAGACATAAAGCTATGCATCAGAAGTCTGCAGTAGCAACAGCCAACAAGCATGCTGCATCCCTCAATAAATGAGTGTTTAGCAATACGGCAATTATCTTAATTATGGATATGAAGAAGTGATTTAGAGGAGCAGGGACAACAGAGAGTGTCTTGCCACACAGCTATCTCATAGTCTGGAAATGCTGCATTTTCTAAGTCTAAGCACAGGGACCCATCAGCTGTGGCGATACCCCTGGTATCCCAGAACTGACTGGCCTACAGGGGATGCAGGTACAATGTGAACAATGGGAGGGATAATCTTTACAGGGCTGTTGTTCTACACATGAAGGGCATGGTGGGAGGCACCATCTTATAACCCTTGGTAATACAAGAGGGTCTTAAAGATCACACCATGAGGAAGCAGGAAAGCCCTTGCTGAGGTGGCTGGTATAAGCAGGAGCCAGTGAAGAGCTGAAGCGGTGAGCAAAACTGATGTGAGGGAACTGGTGCGATGGGCATGGGGTCAGCAGACTATTGAGGGGAGCAATTGTTGATTGTAGGGGCCTGGCTGAGGGAAAAGCATTGCATGTGAAAAGCACTGGTGTTATGGGCTATTGCTGAGAGTGAAATGCTGCAGAAAATGAAGGAAGGAAAACGTTGAATGTAAGTCTGCTGTTCTGTACTGTGTTTGGGAGGAGAATCCACTAACCTGTCTTGTCTCCCTGTCTGGGACATGAAGCACTGGTCCCTGTGTCTGGCTGCAGAAGATTCACAAGCTCAGGAACTTATAAACAAGGGGTAAGTTTCTGGTCCTCGTTGCTGTTTGAATTTTTTCATTTTATACCACTTCTTCATGCCTCAATGGCTCGTAATTATAACTGCTACATGATGAGCCAAGTTGCACAGAACAGAAGAGCACATGGCATCCAGCAATTGCCCTAGGATGTGCAGTGTACAACCTGTTACTGTGTTTGTTTAAGTAATACCTAACCCTGAATTTCCTTGGTATGTAGCATAAACCAGTTCTTGTATTTTGGATTAAATCAGGAGAGAAAAATGTAGCCTTACATGTAAGATGATCACTTAAGTCACTATACAATAATTATTTTAACAGGTGTCATATCTTTTGTTATATGAGGTCAAAATGTTCAGAACTTTAAAGCAAATCAGAACTAAGCAATTTTATGCACGCATCTTCTGCACTTCACCCTTTCCCATAGGCACCTAGACACATCAGACTGTCTTCTAAATCACTCTGTGCATTTTTCATGCAACTCAGCTCTCAGATTGCCCAGGGTCCGTTAAACTAGTTGGCTCACAGGAGTCTGTTTTTCACGTCATGCTAATCATTGTATTTTGCACAGCTACCTGTGAAGTCCAGTCCTTCGAAACTGCCACAGCTTCAATGTTAACTTGTCTTAAGAGCCATGTCATCTCTGCTGTCATCTGGCTGCAGAAAGCATTTAAAACTGGAAAGTTCAAAAGGCAGTATGCAATCATACCTTTAACCGAAGGAACTGAGTAATTTTAAGTCAGACAATGCCCATAGGGAAATCTTTAGGTTTTGTTGCACACTGGAAAAGACAAAGGGTGAAAATTTTTCTTTGATAGCCACCACTAGATTAGTAATTAGTTGCTATCTGTTGTTGCCATAAAGTTTTATTAGCCCAGCCAGTTCTGTATTCTTGATGTTATGTTGTTCACAGCGATGAAAAAAAAATTAGCCATTCAATACAATGTCTGCTAAAATCAGAGTATAAGCATTGTACCCATGCCACATTGTTAAAAAAACAAGCCTTCAGCTCACAAGCCACTCAGTGCTTCTTGGCAAACAATTTCCTACTGTTCCCAATATGTGTATTTGTCCCAATAGATCTACCAAACTCATCAATGTTTTTCTTCATAGTGCCTGTGTGTTTTAAAGACAAGTTGTTTTGCTCACATAGTTTTCTTACATTGCTTTCTGTTTCTTCATATTGACATATAGCTGCACAAGTAGCTCATTTCTTGGCAAAGCTTGGAGATACAGCCTTGAATGGAGTGTCACAGCTTTACTTTTTAATGAGTTTTCTTCTCTGCATTGTCATGCTCTTTATCCTTGGTGGCAGACAGTCAGTAAACCACCTGCGCCATAAAAACTTAAACAAATCCAGGTGGGAAAAAATGTTCTTGCAGCAAGATCCCAATACCCATAATTAGCAGAGAAAATAGATGTGTCTGATTTCATGTGGAGACAGAAGCTGCTGTCTTTAAACAGCAAAATATACTGTCATTTTTCAAGTTGCACAGCCGCATGATATATGGAAAATGTTGCTAAATCACCTCTGCCAGGGACTGCTGAAAGAACAAGGAAGTAAGGACAGAAGCACAATGATTTACTGAATATATCACAGTAAATGCAGCTGCATATTGAGTGCTTTTGAGTGAAATATTTAAGTTTTCTGAGGTTTTCAGTTGTTTTTAAAATGAGTGTCCATGTCCTAGACTTAAAATCGAAGACAAAGCCAAGAGAGATGGTCAAGAGAGGTTTTTTTTCTGTGCACTTGTAATTCTGCAGAGTCAGGATTTTGGGAACCTGTATTTAAACCTGTGCATTCAAGCTTGTTTAGTCTAATCTTTTGCCCTCTCCCTAATCTTTGATTTTCTTTCCACCACTATCTCATTCCTAACCCTCTTGGATAAAAGAACTAATTTTAATGCTAAAAAAAAAAGAAGCAAAAAAAGGAAACGTTACTCATCTTCCAGTTCTCTGGTTAGAGTCATGTGGGGATTTCTCCTTTTGCTAAATTAAGATTCTCATCCTGCAAATTTAGCAAAAGGAAACTTGTGATTTTACATGTAAAAACTAACATGCAGAGCTTGTCTAAATGCTTCTAGAGAAGCCTATTTCTATTTCAGAAATTCAGAGTCAGTGGTTTGCAATCACAGATATGCCTGCTATCCTGAAAACTTACCCACCCTGCTCCTCACCATTCTGGAAGCCCACTAAGAAACAGAGCAGGAAGAAATGCTCACTCCTTCTGCAGAAGCATTGCCCTTTTGTTCTGATTTGAAACAAAAATATTCAGAGTTGTGAAATACTCTTTGGCAGAGAAAGACAACATAAGTCTGATAAAACCATCAACAGCAAAGCCAATATTTCCTTCCTGTTCAGTGTCTCCTGTATTTTATTCCTCTCTCATTCTTCAGATTTACTGGGCTTTTTTTTTTTTTTTTTTTTTTTCAAAAGAACGTAGCTAGTAGCAGCGGGCACCTGAAGCAAACAAGCAGACTCAAGTGACATATGGAATTGGAGCACTCAGTTGGAGCACAATTAAATGCACAAGATGCACAGGTGACCTTTGTGGGTAAAACATTTCCTGGAGATGGACAGTCAAATGACCATGCTGAAGTCATATTTATTGCTATTTATAGTGTCAAATCAAGTTGAAGACTTGTCACAGCACAGATTGCGGTGCGGATATTTAATAAGAATTGTGCAGATGGAAAGCAGTATTTTGTAGGGGAAAGTAAATAAATAATTAACATCAACTTGCCTAGGCTATGATGGTAAAAGTCTTACATACCTAAAAAATCTGCATTATTACGTAGTATTACAACCCAAGGGAAGGGAGCAGTTTCTTCTGCTGTATAAATAAATAAATAAATAAAAATAAGACTGTATCGCAAATATCACACATTCATAGACTAAGATGTCATTGTTGAATGTGGTGGTTCCAGTTGTAAATAGAGTCACTTTCAAACTTGGAACAATAACGAGAGGATTTTTGTAATCAGTATTCATACTAAAAAATGAATGCATGCACTACTAAATTGAGCACCTCATCTAAACATGCCCACATGGGTATCACACAGAGATTTTATTCACTAGTGTCTAATATTTGAGCCTTTGGAAAAACACAGAATCACTGAGTGTTTGAGGTTGGAAGGGACCTCAGATCAGAGAGCTGGAACAGCTCTCCTATGAACAAAGCTGAGAGGGTTAGAGTTGTTCAGCCTGGAGGATGGATGGAAGGTTCAGAAGGCTCCAGGGACACCTTCTTGTGGCCTTTCAGTATATGAAGGGAACTTATAAGAAAGACAGAGATGTATTTTTTTACCAAGGCCTGTAGTGACAGGACAAGAGGAAATGGTTTTAAACTAAAAAAGAGGAGATTAAGATTAGACATAAGAAATAAATCTTTTATCATGAGGCTGGTGAGACACTGGAACAGGTTGCCTGGAGAAGCTGTGGATGCCCCCTTCCTGGCAGTGGTCAAGGCCAGGTTGGACGGGGCTTTGAGCAACCTGACCTAGTGAAAGATGTCCCTGCCCAGGGCAGGGGAATTGGACTAGATGATCTTTAAAGGTGCATCTCAGCCCAACTATTCTGTGATTCTATGACCTCTGGAGGCCATCTGCTCCAGCCCCCCTGCTCAAGCAGGGCCACCTAGAACCCGTTGTCCAGGACTATGTCCAGATGGCTTTTAAATATCTCCAAGGAGGAAGACTCCACAACCTCCTTTGGCAACATGTACCAGTGTCTGGTTACCGTCACAGTAGAAAGGTATTTCCTGATGTTCAGAGGGAACCTACCATGTTTCAGTTTGTGCCCATTGCCTCTGGTCCTGTCACTGGGCACCGCTGAAAACAGCTTGGCCCCATCCTCTTTGTACCCTCCCTTCAGGTATTTATGTACATTGGTAAGGTCCCCTCCAAACCTTCTCTTCTTCAGGCTAAACCGGCTCTGGCAGCCTTTCCTCATAGGAGAGATACTTCAGTCGCTTCATCATGTTTGTGACCCTTCATTGGACCCATGTCTCTCTTGTACTTGGGAGCCTAACACTGCAGCCAGCACTTCAGATGTGACCTCACCAGTGCTGAGCAGAGGGGAACGATCACCTCCCTTGGCCTGCTGGCAACAGTCCTCCTAATGCAGCACTGGATACCACAAGCCTTCTTTGCCACAAGGGCATACTGTTTACTCATGGTCAGTTCGGTGTCCATGAGAACCCGAGGTCCTTTCTGCAAATCTGCTTTCCAGCTGGTCAGACCCCAGCATGCACTGATGCACGGGGTTGTTCCTTTCCAGTTGCAGGACTTTGCACTTCTCATTATTGAATTTAACAAGGTTCCTGTCAGCCCATTTCTCTAGCCTGTTGACGTCTCTCTGGATGGGAGCACGATCCTTTGGTGGAACCACTCCTCCCAGTTTTGTGTCATTAGCAAACTCTGCCCTACCATCCAGACCATCAATGAAGATGTTGAACCAGATCAGATCCAGTGTTGACCCCTGGGGTACACTGCTTGTGACTGGCCTCCAGCTGTAGACTTCATGCCACTGGTCATCACCCTTTGGGTCCATCTGTTTAGCCAGTTTTCAGTCCACCTCATCACTGTTTGCTCATCCAGCCTGTACATAAATAGCTTCTCTATGAGGATCTTACAGGAGAAAGTGTTGAAAGCCTTACTGAAGTCTAGGTAGACAATATTGACTGTTCTCTACCTCTCTACTAAGCCAATCATCTCATCATAAAAGGTTACCAGGTTGGTCAAGTACGACTTCCACCTGGTGAATCCATGCTCGCTACTCCCAATCACCTTCTTGTCCTTCATGTGCCTGGAAATGATTTCCAGCATTATTTGCTCCATCAGCTTCCTAGGGATTGAGGTGAGGCTGATTTGCCTGTAGTTCCCTGGATTATCCTTCCTGCCCTTATTGAAGACAGGAGTGACATTTTCTTTCTTCTATTCCTTGGGCATTTCTCCAAGTTGCCATGATCAGTCAAAGAGTATTGAGAGTTTCCATGCAATTACATCTGCCAGCTCCCTCATGCGAGTCCAACATGTCCCTGACCTGATACTCTTCCACCATGGATACATTTTCCTTGCTCCAGACTTTTCTCTGGAGCCGGTCATGCTAGTAAAGACTTGAGGTAAAGGCAGCATTCAATTCAGTACCTCAGCCTTTTCCAGGTCCCGTGTCACCAGGTCCCCTGTCTTATTCAGCAGTGGGCCCAAGTTTTCTCTAGTCTTCCTTTTGTCACCTATGTACTTGGAGAAGCCTCCTTGTTGCCTTTAACACCCCTCACCAGATTCAATTCCAGCTGGGCTTTGGCTTTTCTAATCTCATCCCTGCATGCTCAGACAGTGTCTCTGTATTCCTTTCAAGTTGCCTGTCCCTGCCTCTACCCTTTGTATCCTTCCTATTTGTGTTTAAGTTTTGCCAAGATCAG